TCATATCATAGGCGTATGGAAATGTCTCTGATATGGTAAGGTATTTTTTTTTCAGCACTAGAAGGCTCATCAATAAAATGGATCAATAAAACCATAGATCTCCTGTTCTAGCAATGGGTGGCAGCCCAAAAGTAGAGGATGCCCTTGCACAGGTTCATCCTATACCCAGTTTGAATTATTGCAGTGTGCTCTAAATGAGCAGTGGTGGGTTGCCCCCAGTTCGCACCAGTTCTATAGAACCGGTAGTAAAACTGGTGGGAGGCTCCGCCCACCAACCCTGATGTCATCAGAACGCTTCTGCGCATGCACAGAAGCTTCTGCACAAGCGACCCCATTGTGAACCAGTATTAAAGGTAAGTAGAACCCACCCCTGTAAATGAGGCTGCCTTTGAAGACTACTCAGAAGTTACCACTGGTCCAGAATATAGCAGCACACACAGTTATGGGTATCTCAACATTCCTGTGGCGCTAGCTGCAGTGGTTCCCAGTTTCCTCCCAGGTGCAATTCAAGGTGTTGGTTTATTACCTTTAAAGGCCTCTATGGCATCTGGCCCAGGTTATCTGGGGGACTATCTCTTCCTAACTTCTACCTGTCAAGATAGGGCAGGAACACTTCTAATACCTTTCCTTAAATGATGCCATCTTATGGGATCTGTGATATGTGCCTTTTTTTCCTTTAAAGGTTGAGTGTGTCCCACCCTTTTAACATTCCCAAAAACACTTGAAGCTGACTTTTCCTCAAAACACGGAGATAGGGTGAAATTGTTGAAATGAACTTCTGGGAAATGAAGGTTTAACTACAGTTCCTGGTTTGGTTTTGGATTTGGTTTTAGCTCAGTAAATTTCTGTAAATAGATGTTGTTTTACCAATGTAAATTGATGTTCTTTGTGAGATGCCAAGAGTTTGACACAAGATAGGTGACTATATAAATAAAATATTTATATTAGTTTAAAACAAACAAACAAACAAACTGTTTTGCGGTGCTGCAGAGAAAGCTATCGAGATGATTTTAAAGAAAATAAGAAGACATGTATTTGCTTATAATTACGTTTATTTAGAATTACATCCAAATGGGGATTTTACCTTTTGTCTCCCAGTTTACCCAGGTTTAGGCAATATACTTTATCAAAACAGAAACAGTTACTGCATATTACAATTTCATTGCTTTGTTTATTAGTATATAATATCTTAGCGTTGTTAGGAACAGAATCTGAGTGGCCCCTGTGCAAAATTCCACTAGTAAAAGGAAGATGGCTTTATTTTATGTCCAGGCAGAATATGATCTCTAGAACTTCACCAGATACATCTTGTGGGTCCATAAACTCTTTCCTTTTATGTAATTGTCAGTGGGGGGACTTTACATACATGAAGGTGTAAGTTCCTGTCAGTTGGCATTGTGCTGCAGGGAATAGAGTGTTGCACTAAAATGGAAGGTCAAGACCCCATTCGATTAACCAATTTATATTGCAGGATTTTTAAGGATAAAATAAAGGGAACAGATCTGCTAGATCGCCTTAAACTTCTAGGTGAAGTGGTATGAAACAATGGGCATTTTTGCAATCTGCAACTTCAGATTACATAGTGTATTGTAGCTACAGTCTCCAGAGAGGGATAGTTCCATATTATTTATTTATTATTTATTTATTAGTCCAATTTATATGCCGCCCTTCTCCTTAGACTCAGGGCAGCTTACAATGCATTATACTATATACTATACTATACTATAAAAGTCCTGAAATACGTCTTGCCTTTTCCAACTTCATATTTATGCAAAGTTGCTTTTTCTGCATTTGTAGACATTAAGTCGAAAAAAAGGAACAGACTATTGGACGTGGAACCGCATCTCAGATTAAAATTAACAACCAGGGAACCAAATTATGATGATCTGTCATCTTAACATAAACAATTTCGTCCTTCTCATTGAATCAAATAAATGTTCTTTATAATATAACTTTCGTTTATTTTGTGTATGTACCAAAAAAAGAAAAAATAAATATATTTTGATTTTTATTAAAGCATATGTTTTTTATGAGGGGTACTCAGCGTTACGAAAATTATAGAAGGGGTACACATATGTCAAAAGTTTGGGAAACACTGCATTATAGCAATAGCCTGCATACTTTTTTGTATATACCTGCTTATTAGGGCTTTCCGCCCCCCCTAAGCAGTGTTGTTCTATACAAAGTTGGCTTATTGCCTCCACAATCCGGGTCCTCAATTTACCTACCTCGAAAGGATGGAAGGCTGAGTCAATCTTGAGCCTGGTGAGATTCGAACTTGCACTAATTGCAGACAGCTGGCAGCTAAGTGCTAGCACTTAACAGCCCTTATGCTCTTTAACATCTCTTCTCCAACATAGAACTGAAGATGTTACTTAGTTGGCTAATTAAATGTCTGCAAGAAAACAACCAAGCTCAGAGAGCACCAAAGACTCCACAGTTCCACCCTGAGCTACAAATATTCTCTTCTATTGATCCCTCTCCAAAATAAAAAGCAACAGCATTTATTTTGCAAGTTTGCTATATTGACTTGTCAGTCAAGAGCAGGGGTGAAATGCTCCCGGTTCAGCCGAAGAGGTTGTAGGAAAAAAAATGCCTTTAAAAGCCTCTGACGATCCCAGCTGAGTTGCCTGATCGTCAGAGGCTTTTAAAAACATTTTTTTTCTGCAACCTCTTAAGGTTGTAGAAAAAATGTTTTTTTTTAAAAAAAAAAAAGTTGGCCATGCCCACCCAGTCACATTACAACCCCCCCCCCCCCAGCCATGCTCACAGAACCAGTAGTAACAAACTTTACCTTTCACTACTGGTCAAGAGCATGAATTTATTTTTTTTAATCAAATAAACAGCAATGGCCCTTCAGATTAGCAGCATAAAATTAAAAAAAAAACATTGAGATGATTTATTAAAATAATTCCTTCTCCATCTTTATTTGCACTGAAATAGCAGTTATTATTTGCATTCATGGGAAGAAAGTACTTTCTGTTCTAGTCTATCCACAGACTTCATGTACTTTATAAAAAGCTGAAGATCCAGAAACTGAGTCATGCTTAATGTATTCTAAATGTTTAAGCAAAGGGTTTCAATGTTTCACACTGTAGAAATGAAGAGTTAGGATTAGGGTTAGGACTGAAAAAATAGCAGAGGCCTTCCCCAACCTAAACATCCCTTGAAGGGGCTTACATTTCCAGAGTTAACCGAGCAACTTATTGACTGAGAATTTTGGGAATTGGTTCAAATATATGAATGTTGGTTAGATTGAAGAACACTGAGCCAGCATCTTGATGTTCCTTGCTCACTATAAAATATCATTCCTGTTTTTTTTTCCCTGTGTTTTTAAATAGTTTCTGACCAGGACAATAATGTATTTATTGCTTCTTGAAAATCACAAATCTCCATATCTCTTCCTTTGTCCTGATTAATCTCTCATTGCCTGTTTGCTGGATATATTTTGGTCATGTTTCTCTCTGCTGTGTATTATCAATGGCAACTGTGATTAACCTTCAGTCCAAATTCTTCAGGGTTTTTTTTCTTAATGAGAATAAACTATATGAAGGAGAAAAGGTTAACTAAAAGCAGTGAATTTTAGTACAATGAAGTCACTTACTAAATCCTTTGGCATCAGTGTCTGACACCTCAAGAGTAATTATGGGGTCATAAAGATACAGTTCTTCAACACTAGCTTAGACATGAGAAGGATAAAGGTCTTACCATTGCATCAGCATTTTAATTACTTTCAACAGTTTGAGATTTGAAAAAGAGTGGAAGGATGAACCAATATTTATGAGTGTACTATGACATTAGTGCAGTAGATTTGGCTATATATATTTGGTTCTATTATAAATCTTTATTCTGGGATCTTTATTCAAGTTCTAGCAACGTTTTTCTATCAATGAGCTTATTTCTAGTGTTCCTATAAATCTCAGTGCTGAGTTGTTGTTTTTTAAAAAATAATATTTAACCAATTTTGATATATGTATATTTTTAGAATATTGAATAGTTTCCAGTAAACTATAATTTAACTAATTCTCTACGGAGAATCTCTTGAAAGGTTTCAGTGCCTTTCCATATAAGTCAAGCAACATTTATGACCTTCTCTCATTATGGTTCTTTACGTTTATTGCTTTGTATTTTATTTGATATAATGTACTGTATATGTTAGTAGATAAATGTAAGAAATGAGAAAAAATATTATTTGGGTGGAATATTAGTTCCTGTATATAAACCCTAGAAGATTCTGTTATATTTTAATAATCTGTTTCCATGGATTCTAATCCTTCTATTCTCATTCAACATCTGTACAACTTGTGCATCTGTATGGCAAAAAATGTTCATGGCTGACTCTTCTTCCTTGCTTCCATCCAGTGATGAAATGCTACTGGTTTGGACCGGTTCAGCCAAACTGGTAGCGATGGCAGCGGGTGGTTCAGAGAACTGGTAGTGACGGCAGCACAAAACTCTGCCCACCCGCCCGCTCGTCATTACTTCCTGGTTTTAACCAGGTTTTAACCAGGAAGTAACCTGTTTTTTACCCTCTGTGCATGTGCATGTGCATGTGCACGTGCATGTGCATGTGCACGTGATGTGCACGTGGACCTCCGAACTGGTAGGGAAGGTAAGTAGATTTCATGCCTGCTTCCATCCCATGTGCCACCCACACTACCCAACTCAGTCTTAAGAAACAATATTCTATTCACAGATGCCTTCTTATGTGAGTATGTATTATTCTGGCACGATTGACCCAAGATCCAAGAAAACTGCTGAGACTGGCTGTGCAGAAAACCCTCTTCTGCTAGTTTCCCTATTTCTCAGCATCTCACATGTGCAGCATTCCTAAACTGTTCTGAAATGCAATATGGAAGTATATCCCTTCTAGGTTCACAGTATTTTATGATGCTGTTTAAGCAGGGTATCCATCGTTGATGCTATATTCTTGCAGTATATCATACTGAGCAAGTCAGAATCCATTCTAACCTGCACTTTGATCTCTTTCTTTTTTGTAGCGGGCTGTCCAGATTCCTTGATTAAAGAGCTGCATCATTTCAGAATTCTTGGAGAGGAGCAGGTGAGTGAGCCTCTGAAAGATGGTATCCTGAACAATAGACACAAGTGAGACGGCTTCTTCTCTCTCCAGGGAAGTCCTCCAGGGAAGCACATCTCATGACCTTCCCAGTGTTCTAATATTGGAGAGGAGACTCCCATATGTGACCTATCTCTCACTTCCTTTCTTTCAATTGATTCATGATTATTCTGTGTATCTATCGTGGCACTTCATTAATTGTTGTATATGCACTACCTACCATAGCTTTTCAACTCGGGATCCCTGCAGAAAACAGGCAGTAAATTTACAAGTGGACAAATAAGATGATGAAGACTGCCTGAACTATAAATAGATGTATGGTGCTTCATCCTTTCTTTTTATTCATTTGGTTAGGACCTTTAAGTGCTACCTATCAACTCTTTACAGAGTTTCAGGTTGTGACACAATAAACACTGATTTAATTATTCTTTTGTATAACATACCTACCTTTCCCTTTTTAAAATATGAATAATAGAGTTGGAAGGAACCTTGTCTTCTAGTCCAATTCCCTGCTCAGGCAGGAATCCCTATACCATTTCAGACAAATGGTTGACCAAACTCTTCTTAAAAACCTCCAGTGGTGGAGAATCCACAACTTCTGGAGCCAAGTTGTTCCATTGATTAATTGTTTTAACTGTCAGGAAATTTCTCCTTAGTTCTAGATTGTTTCTCTCCTTAATTAGTGCCTATCCACTGCTTCTTCTCCTGCCTTCAGGTGCTTCGAAGAATAGGTTGACCCCAATGGTGAAATGTAAAATCTGTTACTACCGGTTCTGTGGGTGGGGTAATGTGACTGGATGGGCGTGGCCAATTTTTTTTTTTACTTTTAAAAGCATTTTTTCTCCAACCACTTTGGCGAAGAGGTTGTAAAAAAATGCTTTCAAAAGGCTCTGACGATCCCAGCTGAGTTGCCCGATCGGCAGAGGTTTTTTAAAAAGCCTCTGCCGATCAGGCAACTTAGCTTGGATCATCAGAGGCATTTAAAAGAAAAAAAAGGGGTTTTTTTGACAATCCCAGCTGAGCCACGCGATCATCAGAGGCTTTTTTTTTTACTGTTAAAAGCATTTTTTGGCCGAAGAGGTTGTAGAAAAAATGCTTTTAAAAGTAAAAAAAGGCTCTGATGATTGTGCGACTCAGCTGGGCATGGGGGGGGCAGGGATTTTTGCTACCGGTTCTCCGAACCACCCGCCTCCATCGCTACCGGATCGGGTGATCTGGTCCGAACTGGGAGCATGTCACCCCTGGTTGACCCCCTCTTCTTTGTGGCAGCCTCTTAGATATTGGAAAACTACTATCATGTTACCAATTCCAGCAAATGTGTTTTATATGTCCCCTAATCATCTTGTTGCTCTTCTCTGTGAAACCAAATGAACTAAGAGTTGATGGGTTCATTTAGTATGATTTGCATTTCTATTATTTAATTTGCAAGTTTCTGATATCAAACAATTTGGAATGCAATTGTATGTCAAAATCCACACTTTTAAAAAGTTTGTCAAGCATTTCCATCTCTAAATAGCTATTCAAAAATGGAAATTGAGGAGAATGGATACCAAATTTATTATGCTAGGGATTTATTTTTTTAAAAAAAATACATCTTTTAAGAATTGTAACAAAAATAGTTATGTTAGTAGGAAGATTCATGGAAAAAGATTTGTTAATGCTATCACATGTCTTGGTTAATTAGAAGGAAAATTGCAATTCTTGGCATCCAATAACTCAACTTCAAAAATATCCTTTATTTGTCAGGTATGTATTTCAGGTGTATCAATCCTGCTGTTCTTTTTCTTCTTTAATGACATTTTTTAGTTGACAATGAATTTTTAAGTCCTTTTTATGATCAGTAAAGATAGTTCCTATTCCCAAAGTTTTGTGTGGAAGTACTTTTAATATTCATAGGAGGCCATATAAATTAAAACCCTGTAGAACATTGGTTTACGTGTCCTGTTAGTAAAATTGTCTTATAAATGATTCTTGAAATAAAATTTTGACAACCCTAATTTCCTCCAACAGTGTGCACTGAGGAATACACCATCTATTTTAGAGAACAGTCCTAAGGATTAGGGAGTTAGGGAAAAGTGATATGTCTCTAGAGTTTGCCAGCTTGATTCAGCTAGGGCGAATATTGGCTGCAAAGATAGTTATATTTCATTCATTCATGTCTCCTCTGATTAAAATATATGCAGACAATTAGTTTTGTTAGTTCAGGCAGATATATGTAAGATATCTGTTCTAGGGGTATCTATCGCCAGAATTCCTGATTAGAGACATTAATGCTACCTCCGTTCACTTGGGAGTTATATCAATGTCCACTTTTTGGTTGATGACAATGACTTGAAGCTTAGTAGTTCTCCAAAGTCTGTGAATTCACCTGGTTTACCTTTTGAGTTGCAGAAATTGAGGAGCCCATAATAGATATTGAAAAGTCCATCAGGCAGGCTGCTAGACATGCTAGTCAGAGCAGAAAGGGAAAGACACATTCAGTTTTGCCGTACTCACCATGGCAGACGTTTCCAGACCATCCCAAAGCTGGAACAGTCAAGATGATCTGAGTTTCAGCCTATCTCTCTCTCTCTCTCCCTCACTCCCTTACTCCTTTCCCTCTCTCTCTCTTTCCCTCTCTCTCTTTCCTCCCTCTCTCTTCCCCGCTTCCTCTCTTTCCCTCTCTCTCTCCCCCCCTCCCTCTTTCACACACATGCGCACACACACATCAACCAAATTTCTAAGCTACCATATTTTTCCATAGGTTTAGTTTTATTCACACCTGTCCCTCCCTCCCTTCTTTATGTTAGTTTTCTTCCAGAAATTCAACATGATGTACTGTACATTACATTAGATCTCCAGTTTTTCTCCCACAGCACAATCCTGTAATGTAGAATGAGTCGAGAAAAAGTAACAGCTGCAAAGCTGGCAACTTCACTTGTAATTCCTGGCTTATAGAATCAGGAAGAAAACTAACTTGACTTTTTAGAAAAATAGTAGCTAAAGAAAAGTACAGGTAGTCTTCGACTTATAACCATTTGTTTAGTAACCATTTAAAGTTACAATGGCCCTTACGACTGTTACGACCATTGCAGGATCCCGGGGGTCATGTGATTAAAATTCGAATGTTTAGCAACTGGCATGTATTTATGACGGTTGCAGTATCATAATGATGAGCTTTTTGTGATCTTCTGACAAGCAAAGTCAATGGGGAAGCAAGATTCACTTAATATATCTATTTCTCATCGATCTGTCTGTGTGTCTCCCTGCCTGCCTGCCTCCACCCATCTATCTATCTATCTATCTATCTATCTATCTATCTATCTATCTATCATCTATCTATCATCTATCTTTCTATTGTCTATTTATCATCTCTCTCTCTGTCTATCTCTACCAATCTATCATCAATTTTTCTATCTATCTATCTGTCATCTAGAGAGAGAGAGAGGATAGATAGATAGATAGATAGATAGATAGATAGATAGATAGATAGATAGATAGATACATAAATGATAGATAAACACAGATGAGAGAGAGAGAGAGAGAGAGAGAGAGAGAGAGAGAGAGAGAGAGAGAGAACAAAAAAAATAACCATTTATTAACTTAACAACTGCAGTGATTCACTTAACAAGTTTAGCAAGAAAGGTTGTAAAATGGGGCAAAACTCGCTTAACAACTGCCTTACTTAGCAATGGAAACTTGGGGTTTAATTGTGATCATAAGTAGAGGACTGCCTCTATTTCTAACGTTAAAACAGGGAAATTCTGCCAATTGTGGATTTTAGTGCAACTTTACAACACCAACACTGTGATTTGTTCTTCATGTGTGCTAATTCTTTTTGCTTCAGATAAGCGATTTCTCATTATTAACAGAGACATTAATAAATAAGAATTTATGAAATATAGGGAGAAATATGACAGCATATTAGCAAGTACTATATTTCCATAACTTATTTTCTATGTGATTATTAATCCTATTATGGATTCATGCAATGGGTAGTGAGCTGAAATTGATGATTCCAACTTCCTTTCCAACTGTTATTTTCTGTGTTTCCAATAGATCATAATTTGAGGGTTTGGGGATTTGTTTGTCAAGGTAAGGGTGCTTTTATTTAGATATAGCAGACAATGTACAAAAGCTACCCCCCATGCATTATTTATTTATATAATTTATATAGCTGCCCATCTTACAAACAAGTGGCTCTGACTGGCATGCAGCAAAACTAAAACAATATTATTTTTGTTTTTACAACCCTGCAATCCTTTTTAATCGGGGTGGAGTCAGGGCAACTGAATGGAGCTGAATGTTTGCTGGCCAGATGCCCTTCCTGACACCTACGCAGAATTCACAGCAGATATTTTCTCTTTGCACCTTGATAGAGAAACATCTGTTGCTGCCTAGGATTGAACTCTCAACCTCCCAAGCATGAAGCAAGTGTCTTAACCTCTAGGCCACCATGCTTCTCAAAACTAAAACAATAAATAACGTAATTATCATTACATTATTTTAAAAAATTAAAACTAAAATAAAAAATAATAGATGAAGCGATGTTAATAATAATGGAGCCTTTACACTAGTTCACCTGTTCCTGGAATCTCCAGGCTTTCTGGCATAACCAGGTCTGGAGGGACCTTTGGTGGCTTAGAAGAGATGAGGATGTCCTCACCTCTTGGAGAGAAGATTCCACAACTAGGGGGCCATAGCAGAGAAGGTCTGCCACCTAGGGGTTGCCAGATTTAATTCCCTAGATGACAGAACCTGTAATATGCACACACTCTCTTGGATCTGGTGGGGCAAGAAGATAAAATTGGGGAGAGGCAATCACTCAGATAACCTGTTCCCATGCCATGTTGAGAAGTCATATCCGACCCATCGCAACCCCATGGACAAAGTTTCTCCAGCCTTCCTGTCCTCTATCATCCTCTGGAGTTCATTTAAGCTCACGCCTACTGCTTCAGTGACTCCGTCCAGCCACCTTATTCTCTGTCATCCCCGTCTTCATTTGCCCTCAATTGTTCCCAGCATTAGGCTCTTCTCCAGTGAGTCCTTCCTTCTCATTAGGTGGCCAAGTATTTCAATTTCATCTTCACAATCTGGCTTTCTAAAGATCAGTCAGGGTAGATCTCCTCTAGGATTGACAAGTTTGATCGCCTTGCAGTCCAAGGGACTCGCAGGAGTCTTCTCCAGCATCATAGTTCAAAGGCCTCAATTCTTTGGTGCTCAGCCTTTCTTATGGTCCAACTTTCACAGCCATGCCATATATAAGGTTTTAAAAGTCAATTGAATCATACTTTGAATCATACCTGGAAAGAAACTAGTAACCAATGTAGTTCCCGCAGCAGAGATGTATACCGTTGCTTCTACCAAAAACTCAATAACTGTTCACACTCCTGCATCTTGCACCAGCTGAACTCTCCATATATACTTCAAGGGCATCCCCGTGTAGATCACATTGCAATAATCCAAATGGGAAGTAATGGGATGATTGACCATGAGTAAGGCCCTTAGCTTAATTCCACTATTAGGATTTCACATTTCATCCAGGGAAGTTGTCATCATCTGCAACAATGAAGAAGGACTATATAGGATTGAAAAAGAATTTTTACAAGTCTTTGTTTTGACTTTATCATTTCTTATGTTGCAAGTAGGTAAATCCTATGCTAATTATATTTTTCTCACAGAATTGGATTTAGTAGAGATTCCAAGTAGATGTGTGTTGCCCCAGCTCATCCGTTGAAGAAACGCAAAGCCTAACTAGCAGGTCTACAGAATACAATGTAGATATACATAGACTTGATTGGCTTGAAGAGGAAACAGGATTCATTTCTTTAAAAAAGCATTTTCAGTTCCTGTAGGGTAGATTTTTGCAATCTGGAGTTTTCCAGAAGTGATGTCTTCAATATATGTGGCTGCCCCTAAGATGGGTACGCTATTTCAGTGCAAGGAAACTCATTAAAAGCATGTGTTCTATAGGTACATCAGTGGCATATTTTGGAACTGAGTTGGCTTTTTATTACAATGTAGGACTTGTATTGACTCAATTATATGAAGCTGAATGGAGGAGAGATGAAATTAAAAGATACATTTGAAAATACTGATTAAAATACAAAAGACAACTTGTGACTGAATAATAAATTAGGTGAATGTATATAACACAATTTTGTTTTTTGAGTTCATCTAGTCCTTTTTTTTGTCTTTAGAAAAGTATAGTATAATGGTTTGGCATTATGTTTATATAAACATAATCTTCAATGTGAAAATACATTTTGTTTCCCAAATCGAATCCAATGAATCAAATTTATTTAGTTATTTGTTTGTTTGTTTGTTTTTCAAATGCATATAACTGTCCATTTCACTGAAGGCAATTCTTACCAGGATAATCCCCAAAGCTAGCCCTAATTAACTTTACATGTATGATTTATGGTCAATTATCAAGAGGCTGTGGTAATCAAGACCATAAATACTTTAATAAACAAGAAAGATATTAGGCTGTACACCCCAAATGTATAGAATTCTTTATTCCTCTGGGTGTTATACTACTTCCATTGGTACAGATCAGTGCATCACAATGCATAATTGCTAATGAGATGTTTGTCTATACTGAAAGTAAGTGATAATGTGCAGTATTTAAATTTCCCATCTGTAGTTTGTTTTCTAATGATTTTGTTTTTTTTGCATTTGTTTTATTCTCCAAATCTAGATAATTCCAGTGGATAGAGAGAACATTATAGACCAGAGGTGTCAAACTCAAGGCCTATGGGCCAGATCCGGCCCGTGGGGTGCTTAAATCCGCCCCGTGGGGCTGGCCTGGAAATATCAAAGGACCGGCCCGCAGGGCCTCTGGCGGCTAAAATGGGCTCACAGATGATTGGACTAGAAGACCTCTAAGGTCCCTTCCAACTCTGTTATTCTGTTGTGAAAAATTCCTGGCACCTTAATATGAAATAAGATTTTCTGTTTTTGTCCAGATTAATTGAATTCATTAGTGAGAGATTTCAAATTTCTAAAGTTTATTTATGAGAGCCTGATTTTTTTTCTTTCAGTACAATCGTTATCAATGCTATGGCGCAGAAGAATACGTTCTGCAGACGGGTGGTGTTTTGTGTCCCACTCCAGGATGCGGAGCTGGCCTGCTTCCTGAATCAGAAATGAGGAAAATAGTGTGTGAGCCAAGAAACGGACTGGGTTGTGGGGTAAGAAAAATGCATGCTCCAAATAATTCTACATGAGTCAGTTGAAATTTGGTGTGTGTGGGGGGGGGAACCTCTGATGTTCTTATTGCTGACCCTGAATCTTATCTTAACAGAGGAGAATCCTATAGATCCCAATAAGCAAGTTTAATTTAAGATTGCAGTGCAGAAATGACCACTTTGTCATGGAGAATATACCTGTCCCGGAATGCCTGGCTTGAATTGGCTTGCAAAATTGCTGATCTCAGTGGTTGCAGTGAAAAGTTGGATTGTGCAAATGACAAGGCAAGAGCATTGACACTTTTTAAAACTCCTAGCAGTCAGCAAAATGGTAAAGGATCTGAAGCCAAAGATTTGTTATTTTGTGAGCAGCACTCTCTTTAAATAGGTTCAAAGGGAGGGAGGGCAGAGGCAGGGACAGGAAAAGAGTCAAGTAAGTAAAATGGTTTGTATGTTTTGAGTAAATCAATGAAGATTAATGCAGGTTAAACGACTGTGCTGAATGAACAGCTTTTTAAATAACCAGGGTCAGAAAAGAACTGAAATGGAATGGGCACACAAAGGGATTGCCTCTGCTTATTTTTATTCTGTCACTAACAGTGTCGTTGGATAACAATATTCTTCAAGGAAAAAATTAATGAAATTTAGGACACACAGGTGGTATTTTTAAGTCTGCCTCTTGGCCTTGAAAATGATGTTTCCTTAAAGCTGTGGTACTCATAATGCATTTAGAAAAATATAACAGCACAGTCCTTCAAAAATACATGCAAATTACACTTCAGAAGTGTTGAAAGGAAGGATTTTATGAGATCAAATAAAATTCAACATCAAAACTTATTGTTCCAAGGAAAATCAACACAGCACCAAACAGCTCTTCCTTCCTTCCTCCCTCTCTCCCTCCCTTCCTTTCTTTATATCTCACTTTTATTTTTTTTTTATAAAAACTTAAAGCTGGTGAACATACCTAATACTACTATTTCCCCACAACAACAGTTCTGTGAGGTGGTTTGGGCTGAGAGAGAGTGACTGACCTGAACTCACTAAACTGTCTTTCATGACTGAGATGGAATTTGAAATTACAAACTCCTGCTTTCTAGCCTGGTGCCTTAACAAATCAGTTTTACATGGTACATAATAAATGGTACATAATAAAGAATATGTTCCCAAAACATTTTGAAATTCATGGATCTCACCCAGGTCATCCTAGAAGTCTTGAGAGCTTTTGCCCTTTAATTCAGTTTTTTAGCTGCTAGCAATATAAACAGCCTTTTTACAAGCATCATTTCAATGTTTTATCCATTCTTCATTTCTATCCTCTATGGGACAGATTCATAATTTGAAACTGAAATAAATAAATATGAATAAATAAATTTGGAATAATATGCATTACTGAAATGTATAATAATTATGCTGAAATATTTTTGTTGTCAAAAGCCAAGTTACATGTATTAGATCAATTTTCCTTGATGATAGATTAAATAACTGGTTTAACATTAAATATTTAGAATACTTTATCCCTTTCATCAAAAAAAAAGGATGAAAGGAAATTATATATCCTTTTGTTGCCATAACAGAATTTTGCACCTGTCAGTACTGTTAATGTGAAAAATAATTATTGATTATACTAATAAATTGCAGTAATGTTCTAGAAATTAGGTGGCATTGACACAGCAGTACAGCATGTAAAATAGTGTTCCCCAAAGCTGAGACAGGCTGCAATTATAACGTAACATTATAGACCATTTGTTTGAGAAAATATGCTTGCATATACATATAAAACTCACAGGAACACAATTTAGTTAAGCAAGACATTTATGTATATATTAATTTATTTAGTTATCAAATTTATATAGCCACCCATCTCACTCAAGGTGACTCTGGATGACGCACAACAATAGATAAAAAGTGAAAATATAAAAATGGCAAACATAAAAGGCCATCATAATAATTATCCCAAAAAACTGGATGTATTTACTAACTTTACTTATTTAATCCACATTGAAAGGCCACCCAACACTGTAGCAAATCTGGACAGCCTGCAAATAAAAAAGAAAAATGTGTAGAGATACAAATCACAAAGGCTGTGGCCAACCAGAATAACAGGACACCCAACCCAGCCATTCAACAGACATAGCAACATAAGCTACCCCTCCGCAACCCTATCCCAAGGTTTAGGAAAATATCCAGACTTTTAACAGGGTGGTGACTATACACATCTCTAGTGGGACATTATTTTAAAGGACAGGAGCTGCAACAGAGAAAGTGCACTTCCTGAGTCCCACAAGATGACACAGTTTAATTGATGGGACTTGTGAGTCACTCTAACTATTCATACTGAATGGGCAGAAACAACAGAACTTCATAATCCATTTTCCAGAATAACTAAAGTCGCAGTTCATTCTCCTTGTTCTTCTCCTGTAGCAATGAAAAGAAATATATATTTTGCATGCTAGTTGCATTTGACTCTTTTGATTCAAAACTGTATGCAATATACACATCAGTGGTGGCATTCAGCTGGTTTGCACCGGTTCAAGAGAACCAGATGTTAAATTACCCACCCACCCCACTATCAAAGTGGATCCTGGGAGCTGCACTGCGCTGCAATAGAGAAACGGGCAATGGAGCAGCCGGCATGAGGGAAGGAAAAGGCCACTTTCCCTCTTTCTTCTGCCTGCTCCTTCTCCTTTCCTCGTGCCCACTCCATTTCCCATTTCTCCATTGCAGTGCAGAGCCCAGGATCCACTTTGAAAGCAGGTGGGGGGGGTGTTAATTGAAAAACTATTTCACCCATGGTCAGGTTGGCCATCATAGGAGGATCATCCCACATGTGTGGTGGAGCTAGAGGACGGGGATGGGCCATTCCTCCCACGACAGCCAACCTGATCCTGGGCGAACTGGTTGTTAAATTATTGGAATCCCACCACTGATACATATGATCCCATGTCGAAGTGAGGCAATGATTTAAACCAATAGCTCTGGGTTGCTTACATAAAGTTTATGTTGAAACAGAAGCAATTCTATGTATCACTTCTGTATGTAAAAAAATCACTCTAGAATAACTGCTGCATATTCAAGAGAAATATTATATGTAGAAGTCTTGTTCGGGGATAACAGTATCTCCCTAGGTTAATATATTATAAGGAACCTCTTCATCTTTAAATAATGCTCCCTTTGGTCTTTCTGCAGCACTGAATATATATTTAGAAGGATAAAGATTGGTGCTCCTCTCCAGTGTTTATTTTGACCCAGATTTGTATGAGCAAGAATATTTTACTATTCTGAATGTTCCATTAAACCGTTAAGGATCTGGCTTTGCCATTATAGAATTGCTTTTTTACTTTGTTATATGCGTAAAAATATTAATTTGATTTCCCAAAGTCTGTTGCACACAGTTCTTCCATCTTCATTACTATTCGTCTGGCCAATCTCTTGCTTTCATCACTAGGCAGAAAAGACTGGCATATTTAACCAGCAAGAAAATATGCCTCTGTTAACGCTTGGTACCAGCTAGCATGATTACTAGGGGAAAAAAATAACCCTGGATAGTCAGGGCTCATAAGAACTCAATAAATAAAGCTTTTTTTGTCTTGTCTTGAAAGTGGCTACATATTGCTTATATATTTATTGTTCCAAGGTGAAGTCCCTCGGATTCTGATAAGGTTGGGACTGGTGCCAAGAAACACCATGCAGTGTGACTACCTTAATGGATGTTTTATCAAGTACTGATACACTTCACACTTCTGTCACTATTCCCAGTACTAATTTTTATTTCAGTATTCAAAAGAAAGCAGAGTAGTAAATGGTTAAATAAAATTCTTAACTCCCTAGGCAATCTCTTCCACACCAACTATACCATAAAACAAAATCCAAATGCATTTAGATTGCATGTATCAAGTGTCAGAGACATCATTCTGGTTTATTTCTAGCAGCAGAGCCCAGGGTGGCTGTTGAAGCTCTTCATCCATTTTATCAGTCTTGCTTTAACTCTTATTTGTTTATTTGCTGAATCCAAGCAATTTGCAACAATAGCCATCTCATTTATTTGTGAAATTGACTGCTTACCCAAACTCTAAACTAAGCTGCAATCTTAATGATTTCGTTAATTGCCATTGAAAAATGACAGAAGGGGGAACCGTTCTCACATCATCCAGAGCTCTTGTTTTGCCTGTACAGATACTCCTTGACTTACAACAGTTCATTTAGTGATTGTTCAAAGTTACAGTGGCACTAAAGAAAGTGACTTATGACCAGTGGTGGGATTCAGCCAGTTCGCACCACTTCGGGAGAACTGGTTGTTAACTTTCTGAGCAGTTTGGCAAACTGGTTGTTGGAAGAAATCATTAGGGCAGAGAACCAGTTGTTAAATTACTTGAATCCCACCACTGCTTATGACCAGTTCTTGCTTGCAAGTAAATGGTACTTCTTGCAGATATTCCATTACACCATTGTTGCTACTTTGTCATGCTGTTGTTTGTAGCCAGTCTGGGTTGATTGGAGCCCTTTAGTTTTCTTTGATTTTTTCACTCGTGAAATCAGCTGACCTAATATGGCACTATAATAGACTAGCTGTTTGACCAAGCTGAAGACAGTTCATGAGGAAGATTGCTAAACAATATATTTTATTTCCTTTTCAGTAGCATTAGTATATGTAAGTAACAATGCAGATGTTTATGTTTCCTGTGAGATTTTTTTACTATGAATTTCTATCTTTCCTATATATCTCAAAGATTATAGAGATGAGACACAGCTGACTCTAATAAATGGCAGAGAAAAAGATAGCAGTTGTGTTTCTTTGTTAGTTTCAAAATAATTATATATTTTCCATCAGTTTGTTCGCTTGCATATGTATAAAAAAACCAAAGTTGCTTTCAAGTCAGGTTCAGCTCTTGATGATTATATGGATTCAACCATGCCTTTTTTTGGGGAATATGGAAGTAGTTTGCTACTGTCTTCTTTTCAGCTGCTTTTTGACTTTTCAGTTTAGTGAATGTGAAAGAGAGAGA